GGCAGGGGCCCACCATGGCAGCTGTCAGCGCCGACCATGTCACCACGCTCTGTCCTCTACTTTGAAATACATTAATTTTATTTTGCTTCAAACTAAATAAAATAAAATAAAATAGTTCACTTATTTTACAGTGAAATAAACAACTTCAAAATATTTCTAATTTAATACATGAAATGAAATGTTTTCTATTTTATATTTATATTACTAAAATGATAAAAAAAAATGGGCTTAATTATACAAGATCATTAAGATAAAGAAACAATAAAAAATTATTTTTTTAATTCTATGCACGTTTATTAAAATAATTTTCTTAGAAAAATTAAGACTTAAGTAGTTGAATATATGGATTTGAATAGTCAACTCACAATAGAGCGCATATTCAGTCAGAACTCCTAACGTAGAGAACCATTCGAAGTCCAATAAAAACACGCAACGTGGCGGCGACAAAAAAAAATCGGTCTGGTAACACAGGAATATTCCTCCCCTTGTTATTCCGTATTATTCAGGTATTATTATATGTTATTTATTTGTTATTATGTTATGAGAATATTTTCGGTCTTATAATAAAAAAATGACACATCAATAGCACTTGAATAACACACAATAACATCTGAATAACACACAATAACGCCTAAAAAAACAGGAGGAATATTCCCTTGTGTTACTAGATAAATTTTATTTTTTTCTGTCACCGCCAAGTAGCGTGATTTCATTAGACTCAAAATGATTCTCTACGTTATGAGTCCTGACAGAATAATTTTTCCTCAACAACATTCACTCAGAGACGACAGATGCTCTTCAGTCTTCACACACTTTCATTTGATTTAAACGTAACTGCCAGCAACATTGATATATTGAAATAAAGGGGAATTTTCTTACCTAATCCTATATATTTATATAACTAACACCTAAATTTTTTTTTTTAATATTTAAACCACCTAAATGTTCATATCAAATCAAATAATCACTATTATAACTTTTTAAAAGTGAAATATAGTTTTTCATGGATAAGTAATTAAGGTGGTGTGTATGTACATATGTATAAATAAATTGATTGTTAGATATATAAATATATTGAGATTGAGTGATAGGCATTTAAATCTTCATAAAATAAAATATTTTAATATATTTTGGAGCTCCAGAGATACTTGTCATCAGAAATATAAAGTAAGACATAAAATTTCTTTGATGCTGATAATTTTCTAATGCACAAAAAATATTATAGAATTTATAATTTTAAAAAATTTTGTTAATTCTTTTTATTTGCCCAAAATTCACTATATATATATATATATATGTGGCAAAAAAG